TTCACATCAACCCCTAATCCATGACAATTGAATGTACCAACTCTAATTTCATATCCGAGGAACCCCTATACCAACCGCCACCATATGGTCCCTCCACTCCAAGGAAATAAGCTTTTGTCGCACCTCGTCTTCATTCCCACGCACCTCTTTTCCAATACTCTTATAGATAGAGAAAATATGATAGTCATGGCTTTGTCGCAACACCATTCTAAATATGCACTTGAATCAACACCATTAATATCATTCGACAAGATCACCGTTGAGTTCCCACCACCTGCAACAGTCACTATAAACAAAAAAACCTTTCGACAATGACACTGAACTAACAGGTGCTCCTTTGTTATGCTTTTTCTTTTTGACTTTTTTTAGTGCACTTCTCACATTATTTCTGATAGTAGGCTCATCATATTTGGCTTGAAAGGAGTCTATTGACACCACCCCCTCCCTAGGCTCAATACACCCCTCCACTTCATCTGGCCAAAGCAATTTGTTAAGCCCAAAAAGGTCATTATAGGATTCAGGCCCCAATTCCTCATCTAGTAATGCACACCCATCCAGACTTAGGCCCTCTATTGTTTTAGAATTCGCACCACCCCCTTCACTCACATCTTTGGGATGATCTGGATCAACACCACTAGTAGTCACCACATTTAGAACCTCCATTTCCACCTCTGTTCGCACCCCTCCCTCATCACACTCCACACCACCCCCTCTACTAAACACACCTTCCTTTTTACTAACCACCCTACTCCTATTGCTAATCAAACCACCCCTATCATCCAATGCCACACAGTGGCCAGTGCCTAACTCCCTCATAGAGCTCACCATATCATTCTGCATACTCTCTTCTACCCTATTTTGAATATTCTTAGAAACTTCGTTAATAACCCCTTCAATTGCATTAACACCTTCCATAACCAAATCCGTAATTTTAGCAACTGCCATAGTGGATCATGTTGCCCCTTCCACCATCTGTTCCACCATTTGCGCAACCCCCTCAACGAAATTCCCACCACTATCGTCATTGACAACCCCTGGTAAGACCTCGCCACAACTACGTTCTTCGGACATCGTCTCCGGTTGCCCCACCTCCACACCTTTATCCTCATCAGAGGAATAATTTTCCAAATCCTCCAAATCAAGTGACTGATCCACGGAGACATCCTCAGAGGTGCTATCATCACTAGCCCATCCTTTTGTCAAAAATTATCCTCCATGTTCCTCCACCATACACACCGAAAAACATAAGTCATTCACCAACACCCGTGTTTCCTCATTGATCAACGCCTTATACATCGTGCTCATTTGAATTTGGGCATAATTGAGATGCCTTCTCTCCCATGTAGCATCATCAACTTGAATGAAATCCCCCATCGAAAAGACCATTTTAACGAAGAATTTCTTTGACCATGCGTGAAGGGGGATGCCATAGCAATGTACCCATGTCTCACGTCGTACACAAACCATCCTTGGATGCCACTCAACTAACTCATAAAACCACCTCTCTTCTAAAGCTTTTTATTCAGTGACATCTATCCTCAAGATTAACACCAACATCCGATTCCACCAGAACCATATCATCACCCATCGTTGTCACCTTGATATCTAAAAGACCCTCTTGTAACAAATCTTGACGTATCATAGCCAACTGGAGATGACGATGATGCGGACCCACCAAAGACCACCGATATTCCTCAATTAACTCATCATCAACCAAGAAATGAAGATGACCCCAAGGCTCCTTTTTTCACACCCACTCATTACCCTCGTAATCGATACCACCATATTTCCCTTCGAATCCCTAACGCTAAACCTCGTCGTTCCTTTCAATTTATCCACATACGAGGCTCCATGATTACGCATTACCCCCAGACACACGTTGCCTATAAACTTGCAACCAAGTGGCAACATAACCAATGCTCCTCGCCATCTGAGAATGGCGAGTGAGGTTGACCTTTAGCCTCTGTGCTCCAATGACAATAGAATTAAGACTCCTTTCCGAACCCTCCACATTGCAGACACTATAAAATCGTATGAACCCAAACCTTCGTCCCTACTTGTCACATTTTTTCAGGATAAACACATCTACTACCGTCCCCCATTTTTGGAAAATTTTCCATAGCACTGAGATCTCCTGATTCTCTGCCACATTAGTGAAGAAGAAAGACGTAGAGTTGTTTAGAATCTGTCTGAGGTGTCCTCCTAAACCTCCTTGGACACCACCCATTCCCCCCTTTTTGAAACCCTAATTAAGGAGAAGAAGAAGAAGAAGCAGAAGAAGATAAGAGTATACTTACAAGGCGACAGGATTACCGCAAGAGCACTAGACACCGAACTAGGAGCATGGATCTTGGCCACTGAACAAGTATGACGATCCATCGATGGTTTGAACTTTTCTTCGAATGTGAATTGTGAATGGAGGAGGTGGGTTGCTAAAAACAATGGAAGCCCACGAGTCGTGTCTTTTTTCTACTTGGATTATAGAGAACTCGCTGCAAGATTCGGGTACTCGGGTCAACCTGAGAAGTTTACCTTTGTATCACTATAAAGATTGTAGCTTTCTTGATGGAGGATTTTGGTAAAAAAGTTTTCATTGCTATGTCTCATTTAAATGGTTGGAGTGATAACAGAGAGAGATGTAAGCTGAGTGTAGAGTGCATAGAGCGCAACACAAACAACAAGAAGCGGAGGGCTTCTAACACTAACAGACTTGAGCAGAAGTTGCTTGTGTGAGGTCGACATGAACCCCTAAGTTTAATTTGGTTAATAAAAACCTATTATTATATTATTTATATTATGTATTATATATATATAAGGAGGGTTCAAACGACACCGGTATAACTTTTACTAAGTGTTACACCGCTCAATAACTTTATATTATATGTGAATTTTGAAAATCCAACCGTTAGATTGAAAGTTCCTTACTCTTAGATCGTATATATCAAATTTTGTTAAAATTGAACAACAACTTGAAGGTAATCAAAGTGTTCATATTTTAGTATATTTTGAAATATATATATTACGTCAATTTTATTTTATGAGAATGAAGTATCAAATCATCTTAGATTAATATAAAATTTGATATATATGATCTAAGAGTAATGAACTTTCAGTCTAACAGTTGAATTTTCAAAATTCACATTTAATATAAAGTTATTCAGCAGTGTAACACTTAGTAAAAGTTACATCGGTATCGTTTGAACCCTCCTCTCTCTATATATATATTATCAATGTTCATATATTTTATATTTTTTTATTTTACCGTATTCTCATATCCATGTCCATATCATATCTCTCTATATTCTATTTCTATATCGTATCCGAGTGCCCGTATGGCATCTATCCAATTTTGTGATAAATAGCTACTAGCCCATTTCCCATATATGTGAATATAAATATTTTTTCAAGTGCAATTATAAAACAAGTACTATTGTACTATCTAAACCATCCCTATTATTCCATATTCACGTGAGTCTTGAACTTACGTATACTAATATAGTAGTATGCTCTAGAAACATTTACTTTCTTTAAAACATTTCTGTAATATATATTTACTTTTTAAAGAGTAAGATTTAACTTTAATTTTTATGTACAAATAACACTAGTCAAAATAATTGACCTCACTATATTATAAATTTTATCGCTTAAATAAAAGTAGAAAAATCTAGCACCTAAAGAAAAACATAAAGAAAAGTATTATAAAAAAAAACGCGTAAACAAAAAGCAACGATATCTACGTAAAGATAGTATCTCCTTATCTCTCCCTTCCCCTGCATCAATGCCTTGAATTTTGTTTCTGAACCTTTCAGATAATATTTCCTTATTTTTTTATTTTATTTTATTGGATAATGTTAACATCAACATGGGTAGTTTTGTTTTATTGAATAAAAGAATTTATTCAATTTGCTGGTATCTTATTTTTAAATTCCGTTTTTTAATAATAGAATTATAGGTGGGGACAGTGGGGCAAAAGAATTAAATGAATTTTAGAATAAGCTTTTCTTTAAGGGTGCCACGTGGCAAATTATGCTTAGTTGATTAAAAAGGAATCCAAGTGCCAGGGTCCTTGTTTTGTGCAAAAGCCAAAGTCATACCACAGCTCAGGCTTAGGTTTCAAATTACTATAATATAATATTCACGTCACAGTTCTTCCCTAATTAGTGGGTGCCACGCAAAAACGCCAGAAAATGCAATATACATGGAAGAAACAATGACAAATAATTTTGCGAAAAAAAGGCAATTTATTTTTTCTTTGCGTGTTACAGTTATGCACTGTAAATACCCTAGTGGTTCTTTTAAAAAATTAATGATCCATGTCCAATTGAAGAATGAATAATTTAATAACTTATTTTAAATTTTTCACATTACCCAAAATCTATTTATTTACCTTTATAAAGCTAAAATAGTTGAATGGGTGGAAATTTAATTTTCAACTTGAATATGAACTCACGGAAAAAAAATATTACTTTATTTTTATAAAAAAAAAATGATTTGATAAAAGAAATTATACTTAAATCCTTAAACATAATTTACAAGAATATGATAGTCATTTTTTAAAGCACATTACAATGAACAATAAATGTTTTCTTTCTACTTCTTGAGCTCTTTGTCTCTAATAATTCATCTATTAATTTAATTAATATTAATTTATAAATTTTATTTCCATCTTCCATTAAGTAAAAAAAATAAAATAAAGCAACTAGAAAAGTAATGAAAAAAAAAAAAAAAGTAGTGGTGGGACGGTGTACGATGAATTGGACGCAAGCAAGCACATGGTATTATAGGTATATATATATATATATATATAATGGTGGAGCTAGTTAGTCATAGTATTAGGTATTATCTGACTCAGCTAGCTGCACCCTGCATGGACTCTTTTTCTTCTTAGTTCCTCTTCCTCTTCCTTCTCTCTCACCACTCTTTCTATTTTCGTTACTCTCACTTTACATATCGAAACAGACAAGTAAGTGTCTCCTTATCTCTTCTCTTCTTCTGTCAGATCTCTTTCCGTTACCATTTGTCATTCTTTTCTGCCACGGATCTGATTTTTTTTTTCTTCTTCTTCATGGTGTTTTTGCCTTTCATATTTGACTGTGTGTTACTTTGCTATCACCCAAGCAAAGTTTTTTTTTTTTTGCTGTTTTACGATTGGGTTTGGATATTTTAGATTCTTATTATTTACTTTTTTTTTTTTTTGAATTGTGTTGGTGAAAGTTCAATTGGAGGGGGGTTACTTGGTCTTTGTTCTTTTTTGAAATGTTACACTCTCGCAGACTCTGTTAGTGGGGGTTCAGGGGAAAAACAATTCATGGGTGTAACGAGAAATGGTTGTTATGTTACTGTTATTTGAAGTCGTTTCTTAATTATTTGTGTTTTTTTTTTCATGGCAACAGAGTGTGGTGTGAGATCTAGAGCTTCTTTTTTGGTTTTTGAATGGAGATGAAAATTGTTAAGACGAGTTGCGTGGAAAGTAGTAATTGTTGGTTGCTGAGTATTGACCAGCTGGAATTTGATCATCATTTGTATTCTCTTTCACATTTTTTGGTTCCACAATCTGGATCAATCATGGGAATTTGTGTATTCTCGCTCTGGTCTTGTTGTTGTAGTGATAATGTTTAAGTCTTGTTTTTGTTTGTATCGATCAACATTGGTTGTTGGCTTCTATGGATTATTGATTCCTTGGCTTTTGTTGTTTTTGAATCTAATGATGTTCTTCCGTTGTTCTCCTTTTGGCTTCAGTGGTTTAACTAGGATGATTTGATGATTTTAGATGAAGTGGAATTTTGGAGTTGAATGAGTCATAGTGTGACTGATATGCTTGTTTGGTTCTGGAATAGATAGCAAACGAATGCTATCTTCACTTTTTTTTTTTTTTTCTTTTCATTATTCTAGCATCATCTAGATTATTATAATAATCATAATTATCAGGTTTGAAACAGCGACAGAAAGTTTACTTTTTGGTTGGTGGTCAGAATGGCTCTTGAAACCTGGGAATTCTAAGTGCCCATTTTTGTTGGTGATTATTTATGTTTGATAAATAATGATAACTGACTATTTTGAATGAGATATGGATTTGATTTGATTTTTATTGTTGGCCATATCATTCTTTGAAAGGTGAGTTGGGGGATCTGGTAGCATGTTTCCAAATTAGTGATGTTGAGTTTATTGCTTTTCTACAGATAGTTGATTATTTCACGAACAATGAACAATAAAGATGGAAAATCAGTCACCCAGCCGGACAAGAGCAGGATTGTCCCTATGGCAATCATATTTGTGGTGCTATGTGGATTTTCTTTCTATATGGGTATTATCTTTTGTTCTGAGAAGGACAGATTTGTGTCAATTTACAGCCAGAAAGCCATTGACTCCCCCAAGACGTCCTCAATAAGTTCTCTGCAAATTAAATACGCCAGTTTTCCTGAATGTAGCATTGACTATCAAGATTACACTCCATGCACAGATCCAAAGGTAAAATGACCAACAGTAGTCCATTTTCTGATGCTATAGGATTTGTAGAAGAAAGTTCCCTTATTAGTTAAGTATGCTTAAATTTACAGAGATGGAGGAAGTATGGCTCCTATCGGCTTACTTTGTTGGAACGCCATTGCCCTCCAAAATTTGAGAGGAAAGAATGTTTAGTTCCTCCTCCAAATGGTTATAAGCCTCCAATTAAATGGCCAAAGAGCAGAGATGAATGTTGGTACAGGTACAATATGTCTTAAAAGCTAACAATAAAAGGTTCTCTTAGTTTAGAATTCCTGTAATTGCTATTTGTCCACTCCTTCAAGTCTTCTGTTATGTCTAATTTCAGGAATGTTCCATATGACTGGATTAACAAGCAGAAGTCTAATCAGCATTGGTTGATAAAGGAAGGGGAGAAATTCATCTTTCCTGGTGGGGGTACTATGTTCCCCAATGGTGTTGGTAAATATGTTGATTTAATGCAAGATCTGATCCCAGAAATGAAAGACGGGACTATTCGAACGGCCATTGATACTGGTTGCGGGGTGAGTTTTTTTTTAAATATCTATATATATATATATATATATATATATATATATAGG